ATAGGTTTTAACAAATGTATAGTGACATGTACTCACCATTGTGGTGTTATATAAAATAGTATCGCTGTCCTAAAAATCCTTTGTGCTCTTCCTGCTAGTCATTCTCTTTCCCCTATTTCCTGTCAACCACTGATCTTTCTACTATGTCTAAATTTTTGCCTTTTCCAGAATATCATAAAGTTGAAATAAGAAAGTATATAGGATGCTTTCTTTCACTTGGCATATGCATTTATTGTCTTGTCTTTCTTTTCATGACTTGCTAGCTTATTTGTTTTTAGCACTGAATATTATTCTACCATGTGAACTTTTTTATTTTGGTACCTGGGATCAAACTCAGGACCTTGCACTTGTACTTGCAAGACAGGTGGCAGCACCACTGAGCTAAATCTCCAGCCCTAAACTTTTTTATTTTCTTATTTTATTTTATTATTTTGGTACTGGGAATTGAACTCAGGTCCTTGTGCTTGTGAGGCAGGCAGTGGAACCACTGAGCTAAATCCCCAGCCCCTGAACTTTTTTAATGTAAGTAGTTACAGTTATGAATTTCCATTTGAAGTCAGGTATGCGTGGTAGCACGTGTGTGATACCAGCATCCAGGAGGTAGAGGTAGGAGGATCCCAGTTCAAGGCCAGCCTGGGATACATGGCCAGTTCAGACAAGCCTGGACTACATAGTGAAAACTTGTTTCAAGCAAAACAAAACAAAATTCCATCTGAGCACTGCTTTCACTACATGCCATAAGTTTTGATATATTGTGTAAAGTATTATTTGTATAGGAAAGGCAGAATAATTTCCATGTATTTCAAGTTTTTTTAAATAATGAGTGGTTCTTCAGTGTGTCATTTATGAATTTATTGCTTTCAAGTTTTAAATTTATCTTTTTTGTCTTTGTGAAACGGATATTTAAATATCTTTTGTCAGCTCACAGATTCTGAGCTTTGTCAGTAGAGGACACTGGAGAGATACTGCAGTGGGAAAAGGTTTTGCTTCCTGCTTCTGCAGTTTCAGTTGGGCAGGCTTCTCTGGTGTGGGCAGCTTCTCTGGTGCCTGGCTCCTGCAGTGCACAAGGTAGCTTCAGTACATGGCCTTTGCAGTGTATAGTGACCAGTAGTCAGAAATGTTTCCTGGCATTGCTTGCAGGTTACATATAGTGGATTATTTCTGATGAGACATTTCTCCAAGGTGGCTTTTATCAGCACCCTAGAACATGGATGTCTGTCCATTTCCTTGCCACCCACTGAACCCCAGGCACATCCTCTAACCAGGTCTGCTTCTCAACTCTGGTCTGAGCTCTTCCTTGAACACTATCTCAGCCCAGGAGTAATGGCCACTCAGACTTGCTAATCCCATATTTTAGGGTTCTCTTACTTTTTTATTAGCCAATCTATTACTCCAACCCCTTGTTATAGTTAAATCTTTAAATAAAGCTTTCATTGTTGAAATTACTATATAGCTCTTATCTCCTACTGGATCCAGACTGCTATATGTACCTCATAATTTTTAAAGGTGACAAAAAATTCTGGTTTTGATGAGCTGACCTGTCAAAATTAAGAAATTACACTTATCATAGGACAAAATTAAGCTGGGTGTTGTGGCACATGCCTATCGTCCCAGGTTCCCAGGAGGCTGAAGCAGGAAGATCATTTGAGTTCAGGAATTTGAGATCAGCTTGGGCAACATAAATCCCATCTAAAACAAACTCGCTATAACAGGAAAATGGGCAATGAATATGGATAAGCAATTGAAAAAGAAGAAATCCAAAAGGCCATCATGAAGTGTTCAAACTCATTAGTAATTACAGAAAAATTATCACACTTGTTCGGAAAAATTTTGAAAGCTGGATAATAGTCATCGCTCACATATATCTCAGGTCTGTCGCATTCCATCACATTTGCTATCATTCTAGCCAAGATCATCTTCATCTTCTGTATTACTGTAACATAAAAATGTAACTAGTCTGCTCACTTCTATTCTTGTTCTTCATAATTCATTCTTTCCATGGGAGCAAGACAAATCTTTAAGTGTATTTTCTCATTACTGGGACAAAATACCTAACATCCACAAGTTAAAAGAGGAAAGGTTTGGTTTAGTTCTCAGTCCATAGTCAGCTGGTTCCAAGGCAGGGCAGGATGGTAGAGGAGCATGGCAAAGGAGAAACCGTTCATGGCAGGACAGGAAGGAAGCAGCAAGCATCTCTTCTTTCCCTATTTATTCCATCCAGGCTGCAAGCCTATTCATTGGTGCCACTACTACCAGGGTGGGTCTTCCCTCTTCAGTAAATAAATCCATCACCCACACCTAGAACTATGCCAAATCAATCAGTGGACTAATCCAGTGTCACACACCCATGACCCAGTCACTCCTGAAAGCCCCACCTATGAGCACATAGACTTTGGGAGGAATATCTAGATACAAGCCATAACACAGTGCAAATTAGATACCACTTTGTTTAGAACCTTTCAAGAACTTTGCATAGTCCTTAGGATAAGATCCAAGATGAAGGGATGATCTTTTCCCTACCTACCTCTCCTGTTTAATATGTGCCTCTATCCCCTTTGCTCCTTACACTCCAACCACTGACTAAAGAAGTTTCGGCACCTTGATCACTTCAAGTTCTTTCCCTCCTCATAGCCTTTGTGTATGATATTCCTTTTACCTATCTCTTCATACTGTTTGCACCTTCTTATCCTTTATTCTACCAAAAGAAGCCAATTTACTTTTCTGGAGCTGATCCTGATGGTCTCTTATCACCATTACCTTATTTCTTTCATAAAACTAAAATAATTTGTGAGTGTGTTTGTACACCTTTCATCTCTCCTATTGGACATTTCATAAAGGAAGTAACTATGTCTTCTTTGTCACTTACCTCTAGCCCCTAAGGCAGTACCCAAGACAGTGTGGACATTACATTAGGTGAGTGAGTGAGTCTATTTCATGTTTTGGAAAAGCTTGACTCAGTGAATTACTTTACAAATGAAGATCACACTTAAATGTGTTCTTCTTATTTATTTTATTTTTATTTTTTGGTACCAGGGATTGAACTTGGGTCCGTGTGCTTGCAAGGCAGGCCACTGAACTGCTGAGCTAAATCCCCGGTCCTAAATGTGTTCTTTTTAGTAATGAAATTGTCAGGGTATAGTTCAGGCAGAACTATGTCCTGCAGAATTATATTTTTCCCTTTAAATTTGATTTTAAACACTTGTATCTAAAAATTAATTATTCCTCTAGGGTTGTATTGTACTATAAGCATGTTCTCAAGACTGGAAGACTGAATGCTAGCAAGAGATAAATGTAGGCCTGATGTAAGAAGAGATGTGCTTCCAAAGGAGACTTATCAAAAAGTGGACAAAGTTGGTCCAGAGATTTAGCTCAGTAGTTCCGGTGACTGCTTCGCAAGTGCAAGGACCCAAGTTCGATCCCCAGTACCAAAAAACAAAATAAAACAAAAAGTGGATAAAGTTTGGTGCAAAATTTATTTTCTTTTTTGAGACAGGGTCTTGCTATGTAGTTTAGGCTCTTGCTACATAGTGCAGGCTGGTCTTGAACTCACTATGTAGCCTATGCTGGCCTTGAACTCTCAGCCATCCTGGCACCTCAGCCTCCCAAGTGCTGGAATCACAGGTGTGCGCCACCACGCCTGCACACTTCTTAAACTGACTTCTAGTCTCCCACTTATAGTACGGGTTAAAATTAAGTATGTCAGACCCCAGAAAATATCCTGTCAATTATTGTGATTATTTTGTTTAAACCATGGAGCATACACTGTGGGTGGAAGTATGAATTCTCCCTGAAGGAAATAGGTGTTCCCTAGACTTACTTGAATGGAGAGATGTAGAGAAGGATTTCTTATAGTTTCTAGATTCATAGTAGAGAGGTGGTGGGAAGTTTCTGGAGGTTTCCACTGGTGACAAGCCTATGTTCTGCTATGTATAAGATTTCTGGGTCTAGGCAGAGGCTTGAAGTTGTTTGGGTTCCTAAAATGGTTAATTTCAGCATCAACTGTAAATTGTTCTCAGCATTGGATTTTGTAATCCTCAAGCCTTCATTATCATTAAATGTTACACATTGGTCTTTGCTGTGCTTTGGAGAATTAAGGGAGGAGCCTGTAACTGACAGCAAGTAGTATGAGGCATTCTGCATTCTAAAGAAGTCAGCTGAGAAACAGCAGTTCTCTCACAAAATTCCACAGCAGCAAAAGTTTTAGGACAGCTAGCTCTGAGAAGCAAGGTCTGGGTTAATTTTTCAAATATAATGAATTCCTAAAGGATTCCCAGAAATGCTGGATTGGGGCAAGTTAAAATCCTCCATATATAGTACTTTTGGCATGGTGGCACCTGCCAGTAATCCCAGAATGTCACAGGCTGAGGTAGGTGGATCGAACCTGGGTAATTTAGTAAGACTGTCTCAAATAAAAACATTTAAAGGCTGGGGAATGCAGCTTAGTGGCTAGCATGCACTAGGCCCTGCGTTCAGTTCCAATACCAAAGGAAAGAAAAGGAACAAACCCAGTGGAATTGACTTCTTATAGGTGAGATTAGGCGTTAAAAGGAAGTGCTAACCCCAAAGGGGTCAGAGACAATTTGGCTGTATTTTTAAATTTCTGGAAGTGACAAGACAAGCAAAATCAATCCTCATGGCTCACCCTCTCGAGTGGTAGTATTACAGGCGTGCGCCACCATGTTCGACATTAATATGTGATTTTTCAGTATTCTCATTTCTAAGAGCTCCTTGTGTACTGTACTAGCCCTTCATCGTTTGTTTTGCGGACCCCATTTCCCGCGCCTTTGGGCTACTTAAATATTTTTAACCCCAAACCTATGCGATCCTGAAGAAATTTGACGCCTGAGTAATTTACTCCTGGGTAACAGGTGCAAAGGGCGTAGTGGCCAGAGGGAAGGAGGGAAAGAGAGATAACACAACTCCCCATACACCTTTCAGCGACTCCGGTCACCTCGAGTTATTTGTCTCCTCCTTCTGCCCGGCGCGTCATTTTGACGTCACGGACGCGCCGCACCAAACTGGCGATCAGCAAAACCTTCGCGGCAGTCTACCTGGCGCGCAGATGCGAATTTTCTCTTGGTCCCGCCGGAAGTCCGGGACACGTGATCTGGTGACAGCGCACGCTTGGCTGCCTGGCCCCCTTTAGGTGCTGCGGCGCGGGATGGCGGAGGCGCCTCCGGTCTCAGGTACTGTGCTGCCCCGCGTGGGACTGGGCCTTTCTCAGGGAGCGGCAGTTTGGTCAATGACGAAATCCTAGGGCTCCAGCTATTTATATCGCGAGAGTGGCCCTTGCTAGAGTTGGGGATAGTGTTACGGAAGGGCCAAGCCACGCGCGTCGCGCATACGGAGACCTCCACCATCGTAGACTGGGTAGTGAAGCCCCGCAGCAGGGCTTTCGCGGACAGTGGCCTTGTCCCTGGCCGAGTGAGACGAAGTGGGTGCCCCGCCCTCCCAGGGCACATCCCGAGCTTCCCGGGCACATCGCACTGACCTCGGACAGACTGGCGTCGGCCGAGTCACTGACGGTGACGAAGCCGGTGACGGGCGCACTGCTTCATCAGGTTTGCGCTCTGTGCGTGGGGTGTGTTTGTACTTTTTGAAGTAGCAGCCCACAGGCGGGAGTGGAACATCACTGATTTAATTTTTTTTTTCTTTTTCTTCCCGTGGTATTGAACTCCGGTCCTTGTGCTTGCGAGGCAGGCGCCGGAACCACTGAGCTAAATTCCTGGCTCCAACATCACTGATTTAAAATCTCAGCCTGCTACAAATTGTGATCGAGTCTTAGTTTACTCATCTATCAGTTGGGAGTAAATAAGTTAATTCCTGTAAAGGAATTCCATAATTATTAGCTCAGTTCCCTCCTGGAGTTGCCTGTGTGTGGAAACAGTCTCATTTGACGGTATAACAACCATTTGCATTTCCTTCAGGGCATACTGTAGATTCGTGTTTTCCAAACTTTTCGGACATTGACTAAAAGGAAACATTTTGCGTTGTGATTTTAGTGCATACTTACGTAAATATAAAAGTGAACCCAGCATTTCAAGAAGCAGTGGTTTCCTTTACGATCAACAATACAGTCCCTGGCTGGGGATTTAATTCTGTAGTTCTGCCACCTGCCTTGCAAGTTCTAAGGTCCGAAGTTCGATCCCTGGTACCACCCCCACCCCACCCCCCGCCAAAAATGAGTAGCAATACAGTCCCTTTTTTTGTTTAATTTTTAAAATACTTTTCACAACCCACTCTTATTTTAGCACCGCCTCTAATTCACCGCGCCGCCCCCCACCCCATTTTCCTGTGCTGGGGATTGAATCACACGGAGCTACATCCTCAGCCTTTTTTATTTTTCAAACCGGGTCTTGCTAAGTTGCTCAGGCTAGGTTTGAACTTGTTGTCTTCCTGCCTTAGCCTCCCAGAACCCACTCCCCATTTGAGGCCCTTAAATGGCAGACTAATCCAGGAGGAATTTCCTCTCTGTCCCAGGGACAGACCTCCCACTGCCATCTTTGTCTCTGGACTATATACTGTACTAGCTGGATTTCCCCTTGTTCTGCTCTACTAACTTGTTTAATACCTACCATCCAGTTGTTAATCTTAGATCTTGGGTACTGTTTGTCTTTTTTTTTTTTGTACTCAGGACCTTACACTTGCAAGGTAGTGCAGTGCCACTGAACTAAATCCTTGACCCTGGGTACTGTTTGTCTTATAGTTACGCCTTGGTGAGGAGATAGCGTATTTACTGAGTAACTTCACTTAAAATAGTGAGAAGTGTGCCTCTGCTTTTTGATGTGGTCCATTTTTCTGATTCATATGACCTTTTCCCCTTCCCTATGACTTTCTTTTTTAAATATTAATTATTATTAGTACATTTGCAGTACATAATGATTACATTCATTGAGGGAGTTGATACATGTACATAACACATCTTAATTCTTTTTACACCCCCCACCACCATGGCCCTTTAAGGGCTTTACCTATAGCCACTTTGTATCTGTTTTGGTACCTGAGAGCTGTACATCTCCCGGCCACACACACACACACAGCATACGGAGACTCAAACTCAGGACCTTGTACTTGCCCGGCAGTACTACTGAGCTATATCCCAGGCCCTACTACCTTATGTCTAATAGAACATAAACTGTAGGGCCAGGGATTTAGCTCAGTGGTTCCACCTCCTGCCTCACAAGCACAAGGACCCAAGTGTGATCCCCGGTACCAAAAAACAAAGAACATAAACTATATGTGAATATCTATCTGGATTCATTCATTCATGTTCAACATGAAATGCTTTTCCCGGGGCCAGGGATTTAACTCAGTGGTTCCAGCGCCTGCCTCACAAACGCAAGGACCTGAGTTCAAGCCCTGCTACCCGCCCCACACAAAAAAAGAAATCTCTTACCATCCTTTACCAGGATATTCTGGATAACTTTAATGACCTTGTTTCTGCTCCTGTTTACAGCCTTGCTTGCACAGCACCACTTGGTCCAGTTTACCCATGCCCACCTTTGAGTTAGCCCCTTTGCAAACTCCATTGCCATCTTGGGAGTTTGATCCTCTTGTTGTTTTGTCACCCCCACCCCACCCCACCCCAAACTCTGCCAGTGTGAAAATGTTTGGGACAAATCCTGGGTTAAATGAGAGGTTACTATATGACCTTTATCCTCTTGTTTAATTCTTCATTGTGTTTCTATGGTACTTGCTGTCTAGCCTCTGTCAGTGTAGTACAGTATAGTGTAGTAGCATAGTCTCTAATGTCACACATTCTGAGCTGGAATTCTGAGTGTTTTGGAATACCTCTGCCTCAGTTTTCTCATCAGAAATATGTATTAAATAAATTAACATGTAAAGTGTTTAGATAGTGCCTGGCATGTATTAAGTACCCAACAAATGTTGGGCCTTATTATTAAGCCTGAAACTCACAGGTTCTGCGCTGTACCCCTTTGAGTCAGTGTGTTTCCAGCAGTCTGTAGTGCTAACAGCAATAATAAAGTAACATTGTAAACAGGTGTTACTGACTTACTGTAATCTTCATAGCAACTTTTTGATGAAGAGTTTGTTACTGTCTCCCTCGCCAATGAAAAAAAATTGGGAGGTCCAGGGATTTAGCTCAGTGGTTCTGCTGCCTGCCTGGCAAGCGCAAGGATCCGAGTTTGATCCCCGGTACATATATATATACACATGCCAAGCGTGGTGGCACACACTCCATAATACCAGCAACCTGAGAAGGTAAGACAAGGAGGATCACGAGTTCACATGTGAGAAACTTAGTGAGACCTTGTCTCAAAGCAATCAAAAAAAAAAAAAAAATTAAGGGCTGGGGATTTAG